AGGAAGAAGAAGAAACTCTGGGCTAGTAGGCAAGCTCTAGGCTTGGGTTTGCTGGGTCCAAGTTCGAGGCTCTGGATGTAGTCCCATAACCCCAACATGAAGTGTTTTTGCCTTCAATTGGAATTGGATTTGCCGAAGGGTGCTTGCATCTATATATCCTTCCCCACAGTGTTTCCAACCCGACCATGCTTACCGTTATCAAGAATATATAATCTCTCTGTCTTATTAAATTCTTCCCAGTAATCTTTTTTGGGATGTCCCAAAAATCTCTTCCCATTTTTCTTTTTAGAAAATTTTTGTGGTCAACATTCATTTATCTTTTCCTTGCCCAACCATTTCCCGTTTATTTTCACTTTCCTAAACCCCGATTCAAGTCAAACCGAATCTTTTATGGAACGGAGGGAGTATGAATATCTTGTGATAATTCTAGAACCAAAATAGATTCCAACGAAAATAGGTCATTTTATGGAAATAGACTGAATTGTTAAAGTTATTTTCTTTTACTGATACAACCAATTGGCCCCTTTTAATGTTCTATTTTCTTTTAAACCCTTTCATGTTGTCCCTACGTGTTGTTTAATGGGCACGCCATTGACTAAGTAAAATCTATTATATAAACTATTTTTACACCTCTTTAATCCTAAAAGAAGTTCTCACCTTCTATTATTGATGACTGATAAAGAAGTTCTCAATTATATAAAAGAAAATCACCTTTAAACATAAAATTAGGGGTGGGATTTTGGAACCGGGAACCGTAGAATCGATTGGAACCGAACCGTTAACAAAATCTAGGAACCGAACCGTTAACAATTAATGCCTCATTTGTAGGAACCGAACCGAAGCGGGTTATAACGGTTCGGTTCCCGGTTCCTATAAAAAATATGTGCATGGAACCGTTAAGGAACCGTTATTAAAAAATAAAAAATAAAAATAATATTAGTAGTAGTAGTAGTAGTAGTAGTAGTAGTAGTAATAGTAGTAGTAGTAGTAGTAGTAACAATAATAATAATATAATAGCAATAATAACCACCACCACAACCACTATAATAAAACAATACTTCGTATAAGATATTTAACTAACAATTCTAATTTAATTAACGGAAAAGAAGTAATAAATATTGTACATGAGGTTGATATAATACATTAAACTCCTTTCTACAAACTTAATGTTTTGAAAGACTTGAAGTAGGCGTCATATTCTTGCTATTATGATGATGAGTAACCTTCATCGCTCCGACACTACAACGATTTTTAATGTTTCATTTATTACATAAAAATTTAAATCACTTTTGTTCTATTAAGTGTTCAAAGTTCATTAGTTAAGTTTGAGCTTCGATGTTTGAAGTGATTAGAGCTTCAAATAAAATTTTAATACTCGTGTTTTGAATTTTCGACGTGTTTATGTTGTTTGTAGAAAGTAAATTATATGTTAATTCTTAGACGAGAAAAAATTATTCTAGGAACCGATAAAAGGAAGAACCGAACCGTTTACTACCGGTTCGGTTCCATAACGGTTCTTGATTTTTTATATAGGAACCGAACCGATTTCATTAGTTAAAAGTTTTATAATGGTTCCACTTATTTTGAGTAAGAATCGAACCGGTCCCAGCCCTACATAAAATTCCAATAATCATTTCTTTATATGGATTTAACAAAAACAAAACATTAATTTGTATGTAGGACAAATCAAGAACTTTTTGGAATTGAGGGAATATACAAGGACCGGAAAGGATGTAAATTGATAGGACTAAAAGATAGACTATAAGTAGAGTTTTGAACAATAGGAGTATTACTTTCTTGTAACTAGTATAGTACCCGTGCGATGCACGGTCAAAGAATATTCTCTAAGTAATAGGGTGACTACATATATACGAATTGCATTTTTTTAGATGAATTGCTTGTGTAAACAGACAAAAAGGGGGTGCAAATATATGAAAATGCTTATGTCATTCTTAGGCTGTTTTTAATTGGATTGAATTTTTCTGATTTGTTCTAATCTGATTTGAATTGTTTTGGTTTGATGTAGTTTGGTAAATGTTTGGTCTATGTGTATTTTATAAATGTCGAAGTCTTGTCTAAGGGGGTTTGATCACATTTAAACTACACTTCAATATAAATTAAGCACATTTAATTTCAAAACACATTTAATCCAGTCATAGTGATAACTCATATTTTTAACTAAGTGTAATCTTCAATTTCGTAGTTAGCAATAAAGTTAGATTATAAGTTAAAAATATGAGTTATGAAATGGATTACTCTTCATTACTCATATCATTTTCATTTTTAGTGGGTAAAATGTTTATTCGAGAAAATTAGGAAACATACATTCATACATATATTAAAAAAAATGATCCCTCATTCAACTTCTTTTTGAACTTACCCATACCCACCTCCACTGACACTACACATGTATTTATAGATTGGAACACCCATGAGAACAAATGTTCCCTCATTCAACTTCTAGAGTTTTTAGAATACCGTGAGATGGACGGTGGGAGAAATTAATCACAGTGTGATTAATTTATTCAAAAATAAAAGGAAATTATAATTTAATTGAATTATTTAGAATTACATTCTGTACAATAATAAAAACGTACGCAATTTGAGATAAATTGAAATGCATTCAATGCGATTCCCCAATCAACAAAGGCGTACGCAAATTTTTATAACTCCAAAAATAGAAAGTAGCATGCCATATAAATATAAGCACGTTATATTTCATGAGAAAGGTTACGAAACACTTATTAATAGATGCTATGTAATATTCTTAATGTCAATGTTCATGCTTTGTAAATTAATTAATGCGACCCAGCCCAAGAACAGGAAAAAACTGAGCAAATACTCTACTAAATACTGATACACCACTAACGCAATTTCAAATTGGGAGAACAAAGACGGAGTACAATTTTTAAGACTTGAGCCTCTGTTATTACAGAGGATTCTTGGAGTTGATCGACCAGAGAGGTAGAGAGTAGAGACGATTGGCGCTCAGCTTTCTGGTGCACGTGGCTCGCAGGTTTGGTCCTCCTGCATCTGAAATTCTAATCTCCTGCGGACCTGTGAATCTAGGATTCTGCTCAACCCCTTCAGGCCTCAGCCCTTTCTCACATTCTCCAACTCCTTACTGGGAACTACACATCTAGTCATCTCTACTTTTAATGCTTTGTCTTTTATTTAGTATTAGAGTGGAACGTGAGAACGGATGTGAATAAATTTGCTGCTGGAGCTCTGCTTTTATAGTGCAAAATGTAGGTACAAATTGCTAATAATAGCTTGCACCATACCCCATTACTGTTTGACCGTCCTTTTCCACCAATATAGAGCAATCCAGGCCAACATCAGATCACAATTAGGAATGAACAGTAGCCACCACCGCATTTAACCAATAGGAGCCCTCAATTATTTTGGTTACTATTCACACCGCAAGCTTAGGCCAATAGGATTGGCTTTCCTACGTACAAAATTTCAAGTGGCATCTGAACCCCATTCCCTGGATTATTCTTTACACGAACTAAAAAATTAACAAATGAAGTTGATATGGGCGGGAAGAGTGTGCCTCGAAAATATTTTCCTTTTATATAAGGATAGATGTGAAAGTTCCACCTGGAGTGAAATGAAATATAAAAAGAAAATTTAGTGGAAAGAGGGAATGATTTATGAGAAATTGCCTCGAGTAAAACCTAGGAGAAATTCTTAAATAGGAGTATGTATGTTTTCTTCCCCAAATATTAAAACATACGGACTTTTCAATTCCATTCTTACCCCTATTACATTTAATTCACGGTTTATCCACTATTCCGCTCACCACCTTCTCTCCGCTTCCTACGCATCATCCTGTCCCCTTTTCCATGGATTAGTTTCTTCTTCCCTGCAAAGATCCGTCGCCTTCTTCTTCTCTGCAAATCAGACTGTTCCACTGCACGCTGCCTACAAATCAGATTTCTTCTCCTTCCTCATCTTCCTTCTCATCCTTCCTCCCTCCTCCTTCTCCTCCTTCTCCTCCTTCCTCCCTCCTCCTTCTTCCTCCTCCTCCTCCTATTATTCTATTTTTCAGATTTTTCTTCTATTTATCTGTTTTTTGAGTTTTGGCATTCGATTTGTTGATTTTTAGACTTTTATTTCGTATTTCCATTGTTTAATTTCTCAAATTTTCCGGATTCACTCATTTTTTGGAGGATGGCATAAATTTTTGCCAAGTTTATGTCAGAAATGTACATAGATTTTTCCTAATTATCCTCCTCTTCCTTTGTTTTCCTGGATTTTGAATTGATTTTTCAGTTTTCGTATTTCTATTTAGCTCTTCAGGTTTTTGAGTTCTTAGTTTTAAAAAAATCGATTTTCCATAATTTTGGATAATAGCTTCATTCTGCCAAGTTTATAGAAGAAATCTCTAGATTGATAATAGTAATATGGCAAAACTTTTTTGTGTAAACATTTTCTGTCAATAAATTCGTGTTTCGCATTTCTGATTGTGTGAAGTGGTTATTCCATCAAAAAAATTAATTTTTCGGTTGATTTCATATTTTTGTCAAATTTATGGCTATTTTGAGTTAATATTTTAAAATAAATCTGCCAAATTTATGCCAGATTTGAAATCCTTGTTTATGACAGATTTTGAAATTAATTTCCAAGACTAAATCTGGCGAAATTGTGACGGAGGTGGCGTCACTCGCAGGCAAAGTGGTGGTCTAGGAATTTACAGTGGCGGCAGTTTCGATACATGGTGGTTACGATAACCAGAGTGGCGGCGATCGATGGTGAATCCGGTGTGGGCAGTAATGGTTGATAACACCTGCGGCCTGAGGGGAGGGGCGGCGCTGGAGGGGATGTGCCGGCAGTATGCAAGAGATGGCTGAGAGATCAATGCAAATTGTCGTTCCATTTAAGATTTGGTGCAAACCCCCTTTCGCCCCGCTATACTAATTTCTAATTTTCTATTACTTTTACTCGTATATGGGTACGATAAAAAAAAATTACTCTTACTCCTGCATTTGGCCAGCCTTTTCCACTCATTTTCTCTTCTCATCTAATAACTACGCCAGCCAGAATGAACGACCGCCGCCGCCGCCGCCCGCTATCGTCACCGATAAACCACCATACCACTGCCCAGCTCCTCAGACACGCCGCCTCCATATTCTTCTCCCACCTCTTTCTGTTCCTCTTCATGTCCTCTCTCATCTTCATTTTTCGCTCCAACGTCCACAACGGCGCCCACTTCCTTACCTCTTTCGTCGACCGCGACCCTTCTCTCAAATCCCTCCTCTCTCGCGTCGATCTCTCCGCCAACCACCTTCGCCTCCATCCCCACCGCCGTCCTTTTCTTCACCTCACTCGTGTCGGCACCCTCAATGACGACTTCCTCTCCGGCGACCTCGATCGCTCCCTATTCCACCCTTCCTCCAAGAAAACCCCTAATGCCACTTCCGTAATTCTCTCCAATTTCGACCCCAGGTTTGGGTTTTCGTACCCCATTGTCGACAACGGAATTGCCATTCCCCAATCCGTTCGCGCTGGGTTCGTAACCTTCAAGTCTTCATCTGAATCCCTAGGAATCGATGATAATTCTACAATGCTCGTTGATGCTCCCAATGACAATACACTATTTGTTGATTTGCAGTTCTTGGTGAAGGGTCTCGAGCTTGGCCGCCCCGATGTCACCAAGCTGCTTTTTCTATTGGGGCTATTCATAGCTGCCTACAGTTACGCGGTCTTTGCATTCCTGGTCACATACACTTGGGTACATGGCATCGTTTTTGTTCAGGTACTGGATAATCTGTTGGGAAATTATTACAAAACCCTTTTTAGGACTTCCTGGGATGGTGCTAATCTTGGACTCAGAAGGCTTTCCGGATTCGTTCTAATGAGATGGGCAGTTAGGGATGCATTGTCACAGTTACTTGGAATTTGGTCTTTTGGTGAAATCGAAGATCAATATGAGTTCTTGAAGATCTCCATTAGAATGAAATTGATGCCATTTTCTGATGTAGCACCATGGGTTAAGGGGCATGAAAAGGAAACTCTATGCTTTATACTCTCATGGTTCTTGGTTGAGTTGTTGGTGGGGTTTATTTTTGCTGTAGATTCATGGATTGCAATTGTGGATCCGAGAAAGAGTGGTAGGGAGGTTGTGAAAGAAGGGTGTCATTTGTTGGGTACCTTACTGGGCCCTGCCATTGAGATCAAGGGTTGGGAGGCCATGATATGTGGGTCGCTGACCAAATGGATATTGGCAGAGATTTTTGGGGAAGTGTATGCAATGGCATTCCAGTCGGTCATGGAAGTCTACTTTATGATCGCTTGGTTAGTGTTTTATTTGGCTGCAAGGTCGATGGATGCCTCATTGCTAGGGAGGACCTTTGGGCGTAGAGAGTTGGAAGGCTTTCTAGAGGGCATAAGATAGAATCTATTGCAACTGGTTAGTTCTGCATTTGTTTGCCTCTCTCTATGTATATATTGCACTTTTGTGAAGTATGCCAATGGTGACATGGTCGGGCGTTTTATGTGCTTGGACATTCAACTATTTGAGCAGCAAAAGCTAATACCAGATTTGGTCCGTTGGATATACGATATTAGTTGATTTGGTCATCCATAATGTAATTTGATGATTTGATCCCTGAATAAGAATGGTGTTTTGGGATGTTGATGACTGCATTGGACCCAAATTACATACTGGAGGATCAAATTGAGTCCTATATTTTAGTTAATGGACATATATTTCTCTCTTGTTTAGAATCATCAAAATATACCTGTGTGGACTAAATTTGACCCAATTTTCATATTCAAGGATAAAAGATGGTGACAAATGTATACATATACTGTTTAGTTGGTTGATAGATGATAATTGTTTTGTGTAATTGTGTTAGGTCTTGTGATATTTTCAATAGATATGAGGTCCAATTTTTTTGAGATTCTGTTTCATATTGATGTGTATTTTCAAAGTTATGATGTGAATGAGTTGGATGTTTTCATTTAGATTGGAAAATTTGGTTTGGATGTTCCAGTCTGGTCAGGTAAACGACTATCATATATGTATTTTACTATTGTGTAAATTTGATTAAAGTGTGTTTAATCTGGTCTAAAACTGGAACAAAGTGAATGCATCGTTACAAAGAACCATTTCTTCATGAAGCCTTTGGTACACTTCATTAAGTAAGCGCTATAGGTGTCTGCCAAATTTTGGCATGAGTACCAAATAGGTAATACTTCACAGTTAGCGTTATAAGTGTAGGCTCTCAACACTTGCAGCGTGGCTGCAGTGATGCCAAACCGCTGCCCCCATCCCCTCAACATTAACTTTAGAAAATAAGTTCCCACCACCGATATCAGGAGAAAGGCTTCATGATTGTCATTGCAGATTCCTTCTTTTTTGTCCAGATTTAAAACTACTCTTATATCTGTCCAAATATAAGTCAATACTATTATTTTTATCATTCTTTCCTAAAAAAGCTTCCAGGTTTGGATCTTTTTTTTTTGGGATAGAGAAATGCTCTTTAATAGAGCAACAGAATAAACGTGAGTACATTAATTGGGTGTCAAGGACGTCAAACAACAAATAATTCCTCTCATATACTACTATACGAGTATAAAAGGTAAAAGGAACGAATGTGTAGAGGACTGTTAAACGTCAAACAAACCAAACCGGCTCGAATTTATGCATTGCATCTGGTGCAAGCCTACTTTGACATTTAAGTGATGCGCAAAAACACGAGACCATCAGCTAAAGCCAATTGAAATACTGAGACATGAACTGAGTTTACAAATGCAGAAATGCTGCCGCAGCATTATAAAAAAGCAAAATAACTTAAATGTGTTTTTATAAAGTAGATAGATGAAGAATGGTGACACAAATCTTCTAACTATATAGGTCGTCGTCATCGTCAGCTCTACCGCCACCGGCTGAAGTAGCAAAGGGGTCAGCGGCGGCAGCCCCGGAGGTGGCAGCATCTGAGAATCTGAATTCTGAGCCAAAACCTCTAGACTGCTGCAGTGTTTGCGCAAACGCCTGGTACTTCCTGATATCTGCATCGCTCACACTCCTTCGTGCATACTTCATTGATTCTTCAAAGTGAGCCGCCTTGATCTCTGCCACCTCATCTACAACATCCTCCTCCATAGCCTCTGGATTCTCACTCCTTTTCCTTTCCCTCTCAATATCCTACAAAACAAGAGTGCAACACTATTCACATTCTCTTGACCTGAAATATATATGTGGTTCACAATATATGTCTATTTCCAGGGAATAATGCAATTTACTTTATGTTTCCCTTATAAAGCGCCAATACTGTTTTCCACTTTTTATCTATCCATATTTTAGACTCCTATCTGAAATTCTGAACTTGTTAATCATCCATTACAGTAATATTGTGAACTGCAAGAAGCAATATGGCATACAAATGCGTGTGATGTTCAACCATTTAAACTGTGGGCCCATTTTGGAACTAGGAAATAGAGTGGAAAATATAGAGATGGTCAAGGAGAAGTGGGACAGGCATAAGCGAACTCGATAAATTTATTTTTGATATTTTTTCAACTCATTATTTAATCACTTCCTTTCATAAAGACAAAGGAATCACTTCCCTTTCATAAAAATGTAATCATATTTCATTTTCCAAAGTGAAGGCCAGCAAACGTAAGAAGCTTACTTTCATTTTTTCCCTTTCCCTGGCATTTTCATGATTCAAACATACTTTCCATGTGAGGGCAGGCCCTTTCAATGATCTCTCTAATGGTACATTTGCATTGAAAGGAAAATCTATGGAGGTTAGAAGCTTAATACCTTTTCAATGTTCTCTCTAATGGCATATTTGCATGCACGCTGGCAGATTTCTGTGATGTCAGCTCCACTGAAGCCTTGAGTGTATTTGGCAAGAGCTCTTAGGTCAACGTCCTTGGAGACTGGAGACTTCCTCAAGCAGGCCTTGAAGATCTGGTGACGAGAATCTTCGTCGGGAAGAGGGATGTAAATCAACTGGTCAAGACGGCCAGGGCGGAGAAGAGCTGGATCTATTATATCAGGCCGGTTTGTGGCACCAATAATGAAAACTGTCTTTTTGGCATTCATTCCATCCATTTCTGTGAGGAGTTGATTCAAAACCCTATCTGCTGCCCCACCTGCATCTCCTACTGAAGAACCTCTCTGCAATGACAAATAAGAGTTGATACAAAACGTAGTAGAAGGATAAGTACAGCTACAGAAAAAATAGAACCCAGAAAATAGAGAAGATGATTGGAAGGAAACAAATTTTGAGAAAAATAGTTTTTATTTTATTTTGTGTGCACAGGTACATGATATTAGAGCAATTAATGGGCTTCTTCATATTCATGTTCTAAGAAAAAATCAATTAATTACGAGAAAAATGAATGTGATTTAAATAATCGATATGATTAACCCTTAAGCTTACTATGCATTTATCACCACCATCAAGGATAGTTTAAGAAGAATATAAGCGCTATATAGCTCCTACTTATCTAGGTGCCATAGGGGTATACTTTAGAAAAGGCCTTTTCAGCCTTTTGCCTATTATTATAAGGACAAACAGAAATTTAGATACTACGGTTTATGTTTTTGAGTAAAATAAAATAATAATCATAACTCATTTTCCTTGGCACTTTCCAATGCAATGCCAGTCTAACATAGTACCTTCCTATGGCTGCATTTGGAACACAGAAATCACAAGGAGAAGAACATGTGTAGAAAATCAGAGAGAAAAACTGGAAAGAATTTAATTTGGGGGAGGAGATAAAATATATGCTCAAACACGATAAATTTGTTTTAAATAAATTTCACTTCTGGTCCTACAAGTATTATACCGTTTCCACATTTGGTCCATATCTTTGACTTTGTCCACTTCAGAAAATCAGTGAGGACAACTAGAAATATATAAAATTGGGGGGATAAATATATGCTCAAACATAGTAAACTTATTTTTTGAGAAAATTCCACTTTTGGTCCTACAAGTTTTATTTGATTCACATTTTATACTTGCCCACTTTTGGTACACAGCTATTGTTTCTTGCCCACTTGTGGTCCTTCCGACTATAATTGCGGTTCCCGGAGTTTGGATAGAAGGATCAAAGATAGGCTAGAGCATAGAAACAATAAGGAAAATTGCATTTGTACACAAAATTTGTACACTTTTTGTACACACCCCTAGTTGCCCCTAGTTGCCTGAGTACATGGGTAGTTCGTTTTAAAAAATCAGTAATTGTCTACAATTGTGTGTGCAGAAAAAGTGTGTACAAAAATGTACAAATTTTGTGCACAACAAAAATTACCCAAACAATAATCATGTATCAATGACAAAGACATGGATCAAATGTGGACTGATATATTACTCGTAGGATCAAAAGTGGAATCTATTCTTTATTTTATACACCTGTTTAGACTCATTGTGTTTATTTTTTTTTTTATATTATTCAGATTATATACAGACCTATAAGTCTATATATGCATGAAAATTTAATCATATTTCATTTTTCTTGAACATTTGGTAATGCCAAACATAAAAAAGTAGCTTTGTTTAGCTTCATCTCCAGCATTTTCTTTGATCCAAGCATAGTCTAGCATTTTCCCCCATCCCCTCGCACTTTTTGAGATCCAAACATACATAGGAGTCCAAGGATCGCCTAGCAACTAGGAGGGTAGCTAGGGATCTATCAAGGCTAGGCGGGAATATTAAAACAATGTTGTTTACAAATCAATCACATGTTCAGAACAATAAAAAACGTACCTGTGTAGCGATTGAATCCAATTCATCAAAGAAAAGGACACAAGGAGCAGATTGGCGTGCCTTATCAAAGATTTCTCTAACATTGGCCTCACTCTCACCAAACCACATAGTAAGCAGTTCTGGACCTTTGATGCTGATAAAATTTGCCTGACATTCATTGGCAATGGCCTTAGCTAACAGAGTTTTCCCGCACCCAGGTGGTCCATAGAACAACACACCCTTTGAGGGAGACATCCCAAACTTCTCGAACTTCTCAGGATGTTCCACAGGGTATTGCACAGTCTATATAACACATATGGAGACTAAATTAGTAGACATCCTATGAATTGTATTAAGCACCACAATCTTGCTTTAAAAAGTAGTGGTAAAGACCGCTACCTCTTGGAGTTCGCGCTTGACATTTGTGAGGCCACCAATATCTTCCCAGGAGACATTAGGAACTTCAACAACCTAGGTTAGCAGAAAGAGTATTCTTAAAATTAATTAATCCACAAGTAAACAGCATCCTTAAATAAATACTATGTCAGCCCAAAAAAGTGTCCGGTTTGAATAGAAGCTAAGTTTCATTACGGTTAAATAATAAATACCCTACTTGGTCCTTGACTTTCTTTTGCGCTCAATTTGGTCCTCAACTTTGCAATCTAGACTCAATTGAGTCCTCATTCATATTTTTCTTCTTAAGAGGGTTATTTGCGTAAGCTAGGAGGATAAAATGTATCCAAATTACACACTTCACAGGCAAATTGTAAATGAAACTGGGACTAAGTTCAGTGAAGGGACAAAATACCCTTCTTATTAAAAAATTTACTTACGTGAACACGTTCTTTTTTCTATTATAACAGAAGTAGTATGTGAAAAACTCTGAACTTACAGTTTCGCGCAATGCAGAAGGATTGCTAGTTCCAAGAGCAGTTTGGAAGTGTTCATTGCTAACAGCCATTGAGTTAAGTATTTCTGCATCAATGGTTTCATCTTCCAAATCAATTACATCCATCTTCTCTCTGATGCACTGAAGAGCAGCTTCCGTGCACAATGCTGCTAAATCGGCACCGACATAGCCGTGTGTATCCTTAGCAATCTTTTCCAAATCAACCTGCAAAGCACATCCAGAAATGTTAACATAAACATCTAAGTAAAGTTTAGGGGCGTTTGTTGTGATTCAGTTGGGCCGCTTCAGGTTTTAAAAATCCGAATCCAAAAACCGAACAAAATAATTTGTTGGTTTCTGGTTAGTATTTTTTG